AGTGGCAGCCTTCTGGCTGCTTGGAGAAGCACCTGCACAGTACCAGGCACACAGTGGAGTTTAATGGGAGCTTGTTTTTGTCCTCCTCCAACCACCCTCTCACCAACACCCAACACGGCCTGAGAGTGCCTCTTCACAGCCAGAAAAATCTGGGTTTCTCTGCAGTGGGTTTGGGGTGGGGGTTCCCAGTGACTGACCCTTCTTAGGACCTCCACTGATTCCCCAAACTCAGGTAAAGAGGAGTGGGCAGGGACATGGGCAGACAGAGCCTACCCCTTACATTGTTACCCTGATTCAAGGTATAATCTAAGATTATACTCATCCACTCAAAATGTATAACTGTCTCTTTCAAGGAGGGCTTGAGGCAGCTTGGGGACTAAACTCAATAACAAATATACTTAGGGGTCAAAGAGAACAGAGGCCAGGCAGAGAGCAGAAAGAGGAGATGCCACCAGAAATCTGATGATTAAACTGAGAGACACATCGAACTCACTGAGCTCACAGCTCCATAGAAAGGGAGCAGGTACGTGGGTTCCAAAATTCGACAGAGCACTGATGTCTGAGTATGAACCCCACCAGCAGGTGGGTCCAAGGCCCAGAGGACACTCCACAGGCCAAACCAAGAACTCGTTACTAGCAATAAGAATCGCCCTCACCCACATGCCAAGCATCGTTCTAAATGCTTTGTCCAAGACTTCTCATTTCGTCCTCACGACAGCAACACAGGGACTCACTGTTTCCATTTCACAGATGAGGCAACTGAGGTCCAGAGAGGCGAAGCAACTTTCCAAGGCCACAGAGGGAGGGAGTACTAGAGGCAGGATGAAACCTCTAAATCTGAACCCAGAACCCCTTGCCCCTTACCCAGGAAACAATCCAGCTTCTGCACTGCTCATGCTAGGCCCCCACTGCATCCTACAGACGCCGGGCACTTCTGGCTCTGGGCCAGCTACAGGCTGCCCTCCTCTCTGCTGAAGCCTCACTCCCTCAGCTTCCGAAGCTCTACCACCCTGCTGGCCTCGCCTGTGTGTCAGAACCCTACGACTGCCCGTGAGCCTCGTGCGGATAACCCGCCAGCCTCTGGAGAGGTGCCTTACCTTCCCACCCCCACTAACCCTGCCTCCGCAGCACACGGCCCTCCTTGCTGCCCAGCCCTCCTCCAAGCGCAGCGGCTCCCAAGCTGTCTCAGCGTCCTGGTCATCCCACACGCCTGCCACAGACTCCAACACTAATGCCTTAGGAGCCCACATTCCTTGTCAGTCTGCAGAGCTCAGCACTCAGAGTGATGTCAGAGAGGCTGCTCCAGGGCAGGGACCCATGGCAGAAAACCCTCAAACCCTAAGTAACTTCTCGACCCACACTCCAGACAGGCCTGCGCAAAGTGAGGTCAGCCCATAACTGAATTCTGTCAGCTCCCTTGGCTTGTCCTCTCCGCGAGGACCCCAGAGAGGGACCCAGGCACCAAGTTTCAATTCTGCGAAGGCGACTGAGATGCCACACGAGGCCTGCTTGGTCCCAAGGTCCCTCCTCTGCCAAGTTATCCCTCGTCACTCTGTCAAGGGCGATGCAGTTCACCATGGGACCCAAATCCAAAGACAGGTTTACAGGCAGTCTGAGGCCATCCCAGCCCATGACCCATATTGTGTGGGATGAGAGGAGGCTCCTTTTATTCTAGGTGCTTCTCTCCCCACTGTTGGAAAATTATTACAGTACACTGGTAACATGAAAAAAAGAGATTTAATGTCCATTTGTTGGAAAATCACTATCATCAACTACGTAAGTCAAAGCCGTCTTCTGTGTGGTGCCCTCATAGGACGCTCAGCTTGCAAAAATGACTTTGGCAAGCCCACCACAGCCATGGCTACCTGCAGCTCAGGCCAAGCAAGATGCTCCAAGCAGCTGAGTGACAGGCCTGGCAGGACCCTTTAGAGGGAGAGGGGGAGGCTACATGGAAAAACCAGGTCCCGTTTCTGCTGAGTTCAAGTCTTAAGCGTAAGGTCCTAACAAGCCCAGACAGTGGGAGAAAGCTCTTCACGTCTAGGCCGGGATAATTAGACCTCAAAGCTGAGGCTTCCACAAATGAGGAAAGCACCTCGAAAATTAGAACTGGCGGGAAGAGACGGCTGCAGGAACCGGCCGTCCAGAAAGGCCCTGGGATAGAAACGGTAAATGTGGGCCGCTTAGGCAGCTGCCCCAAGACACAGCCTAGACTGGGTTTTATCATTTGAGGTTAGAAAGGACTTCACATTTGTCTCTGACCTTTTTTGGCAAACTTCACCCATGGCCCCTGCCCCTTGATCAAACACTTTCCCAGACCCTGACATTAAGAAGGACAAGCACTGTGACAACTCAGACACCAGTCGGAATTGGGTCGTCTATCACTAATCGGTGTGATTCAATGACATTAAAAGAGCAACCAAAAATGACTTCATTTCCTTTTTTACTTTCAATGAGGCCCCACTTAGAATAGAATGATTTGGATGTTGAGCCTTCTTAGGCAAACAGTTCCTGAGGGATGGTGCAGAAGAACCCCGACTCTGGGTCTACCTTCTGATCAGTGACCCGAGCTCCCCCTCCTCGGGCCCCCCAAGTGCTCCACTTGGAGGAGCAAGAGAAATGAACCTGGTTTCCAAAAATGAAGTTCAGAAAATCATATACACTCCTACATTTCATCTTCTAAATTAAGCCAGTGTTCTCCATTAACTTCCCACTGGGGACCGAGAGAAAACTGTTCCAAAACTCCAAACTAAATTTAAAGTTAGAGGGGAAAGAAAACAAAACAAAACAAAACAAAGATTTGCCAAGCCCAAACATTTGAAGTAGCTTTGCCACCAACTTTTTAATTAGACGTAAAGTGACTACCTGTCCAAGAGCTCACCTTGTTAGCCCAGGAGTCCAAGGGTTCAAATGGGGTCATAGAAAAATATAGGGATTGGTTAAAAGCAGATTCCACTGCTAAGACAGTTCTAGCAAGAGAAGGGGTGCAATCCGCTAAAATATGGGGGCTAGCAGTTTGGCTGCAAGCAACAGAAGCCAGGGCAGGCTGACGTGAGCACAAAGGAATTCACCAGAGGGATACCTCCTAGCTCAGAACTGATGGCAAGGCTGAAGGTGCTGATGTGGAAAAAAAAAAAAAACAGGAACTTTAGTAGCGGCAAGAGGCCGGGCCGCAAAGTCTCTTCAGCAACGCTGCAAAGACAGTGACTCCACTAGTTTCCTTGATTGCTTGACTCAGCACAAGTGTCAGATCCCAGAATGGCAGCCCAGCTGACCCGCCCAGTGTGGGCCCAGATCCCACCCCTTGACCTGGGTGATGGCTACATGACAGCGTACACTTTAAAAAATGACTCAAACAGTATACTTAGGATGTGACTAGTTTTCTGAACGGATCTTATGCTATTAAAAAAAAAAAAAAAAGTTAGGCCTAACCTATGACCCAGCAATTCTACTACTCCCTACAGAAGTAAAACATGTAAGAGAAATAATATACATAAGGCACCTGAAAACATGTGTCAACAAGGAACTCAGGGCTGTTCTGTTTACAACAGCCAAAAACTCAAAGCAGCCCAGGGGTCTCTCCATAGGCTAGTGGGTAACTAAATGGTACATATCCATACAATGGAGCATGACAGCAATCAAAAGGAAGCACACACCAACGACAAGTATCAAGACACTATGTCAAGTGAGAGAGGAAGAAGCCTTTGACAAGAGGCGCCTGTGTGGCTCAGTCGTTGAGCGTCTGCCTTAGGCTCAGGTCATGATCCCAGGGTTCTGGGATCGAGCCCCACATCGGGCTCCCTGCTCGGTGGGAAGCCTGATCCTCCCTCTCCTGCTCCGCCTACTTGTGTTCCCTGTGTTCCTTGTGTCCCCTACTTGTTTCGCTGTGTCTCTCTCTGTGCCAAGGAAATAAAATCTTTAAAACAAAAAGAAGCCTTTGACACAAGAGTACATACTGTATGATTCCATTCATAAGAAGTCCTAGCACAGGCAAAATTGGTCCATGGTGGAAACAAATCCAAACAGTGGTTGATTCTGAGGGAGTCCCCCTCCCTCCCTCTCAAAAGAGATACAAAAATTAAAGATAAATAAAAAATAAAATATATCAAAAAAAGAAAAGATAGGGGATGCCTGGGTGGCTCAGTGGGTTAAGCCTCTGCCCTCAGCTCAGGTCATGATCCCAGGGTCCTGGTATTGAGCCCCACATCAGGCTCTCTGCTCAGTGAGGAGCCTGCTTCTCCCCCTGCTTGTGCTCTTCTTTCTCTCTGACAAATAAATAAATAAATAAAATCTTCAAAAAGAAAAAGAAAAGATGCAATTAAGATAGTGAAAAAGCTAGCCATAAGCTGGGAGAAGTGTTTATTACACATAATAAACAAAGAATTAGTACCAGAATGTGAATGTGGGAGGATCACTTATGAATCCAATATATTTTTGTTTTTTTTTGAATCAGTACTAATCTAATAGGGCACCACCTGGAGGAGGGGGAGGGAAGAGACAAAAAGTGGGGAAGACAAAAATAGATAAAGAAAAGTACAGGTGCATAGATGAGGAAGCACAAATCGCTCATAAATATATTCAGTGTTAGCCATAATTATCAAAATGCCAATTTTTAAAAAGATATTATTATTATTATTATTATTTTTTTTTTTTTTTTTTTAGAGAGAGACAGAAAGCATGAGTGCAGGGAGTGGTTAGGGGCAGAGGGGGAGGGGGAGAGAATCTCAAGCAGACTCTAGGCCCAGGATGGAGCTCGACTGGGGGCTCAATCTCAGGACCCTGAGATCATGACCTAAGCTGAAATCAAGAGTCAGATGCTTAACCAAGTGAGCCACCCAGGCGCCCTAAGATTTTATTTTATTTTTTTAAATAATCTCTATACCCAATGTGGGGCTCGAACTCACAACCCCAAGATCAAAAGTCACACGCTCCACCAACCGAGCCAGCCAGGTGCCCCTTGAAACGCCAATTTAAACCACAGTAAGATAGCAGTTCCTACTCACCAGATCGACGAAAACGAAGAAAGTGGATGATACCAAGGATTGGTGAAGACACCAAGCAACCAATGCTCTGGGCCAGGGCTTCGGGGAGCACACGTGGCTTCGAAAGGACAGGAGGTGAAGGAGCACACGGGCCTACGGCCTTGTAATTCTACTCCCAAGTAAACATCCTAGAGAAATTTAAACATGGAGAGGATGTTGGTGATAGTAGAGAAAAGCAGAAACAACCCAAATGCCCATCAACAAGTGGCAGGGAGAAATAAACTGGGTACTAGCCACATGCAACAACAGGTGAATGTCAACAACACATATACACATGTATCGGTTTAAACATGGATCCGGCCCAAGTCCACTGCCAATACCTCAAAAGCATACAAAAATCCGACAACATATCGTTGAAGGATATAAACCCGTATGGTGAAGCTATGAAGGATAGAAGGTTAATAATTATAACAAAATCCAGGTTAGTGCGTCCCCTGGGGGTGGGAAAGAGGGAGACCCATTTAAGGAGAGGTAGAAAAAGCAATTCTAAAGGGCTAGTGGTGCTCTATTTCTTAAGCTAGGTAGGCAGACATCAGTTTCATTATTCTCCTTTAAACTGTACATGTATGCTTTATATGTTCTTGTATACATACATTTCACAATAATTTTTTTAAGTCAGTAACTTCTTATATTCCAACATATCCAATTGAAAATAAATGTTTAAGGGGCACCTGGGTGGCTCGGTGGGTTAAAGCCTCTGCCTTCATCTCCGGTCATGATCCCAGGGTCCTGGGATTGAGCCCCACATCAGGCTGTCTGCTCTGCAGGGAGCCTGCTTCCCCCCTCTCTCTCTGCCTGCCTCTCTGCCTACTTGTGATCTCTGTCTGTCAAATAAATAAACAAAATCTTTAAAAAAAAAAGAAAGAAAGAAAAGAAACATTTAAAAAAAAAAAAAAAAGATCCCGGGGCTTGGTGCCTGGGTGGCTCAGTAAGTTTGCATCTGCCTTTGGCTCAGGTCATGATTCCACAGTCCTGGGATTGAGTCCCTCATCGGGCTCCATGCTCAGTGGGGCGCCTGTTTTGCCCTCTCTCTCTGTCCCTATCTCCTGCTCGTGCTTATTGTCCCTCTCTGTCTCTCTCAATCTCTCTCAAATAAATATAATCTTTATTTATTAAGATTGTATTTATTTATTTGACAGAGAGAGAGAGACACAGTGAGAGAGGGAACACAAGCAGAGGCAGTGGGAGAGGGAGAAGCAGGCTTCCTGCTGAGCAGGGAGCCTGATGCTGGGCTCGATCCAGGACCCTGGGACCATGACCTGAGCCGAAGGCAGCTGCTTAATGATTGAGCCACCCAGGTGCCCCTAAATATAATATTAAAAAAAAATTAAAAAATAGATGCACCGGGGCACCTGGGTGGCTCACTTGGTTAAGCATCTGCCTTCGGCTCAGGTCATGATCCTGGAGTACCAGGATCAAGTCCCGCATCGGGCTCCCAGCTCCACAGGGAGTCTGCTTCTCCTCTCTCATCCTCTTTCACTGTCTCTCTCTCAAATAAATAAAAAAAAAATCTTAAAAAAAAAATAGATGCACCTAGGTGGCTTGGTCAGTCCGACTCTTGATTTTGGATCAGGTCATGATCTCAGGATTGTGGGACTAAGCCCCCTGTCAGCTCTGTGTTCACTGGGGAATCTGCTTGAGATTCTCTCCCTCTGCCCCTCCCCCCACCCCTCCCCCTTCTTGTACACATGTGAGTGTACACATCCACATGTGTATATCTTGTCCACATGTGAGTGGATGTACACGCTCTCTCTCAAATAAATCCTTAAAAAATAAAAACAAACATAAAAATAATTTAAAAACCGTGAACTAAGAAAAAAGTGTGTTGCATATATTATTATATATTATTATTATTATTACAGATAAGCAAACATGTTAAATAAAATCCAGGTTATAAAATTAAGTATATAGGGGCGCCTGGGTGGCTCAGTGGGTTAAAGCCTCTGCCTTCAGCTCAGGTCATGATCCCGAGTCCTGAGATCGAGTCCCACATCGGGCTCTCTGCTTAGCAGGGAGCCTGCTTCCTCCTCTCTCTGCCTGCCTCTCTGCCTACTTGTGATCTGTCTCTCTATCAAATAAATAAATAAAATCTTTAAAAAATAAATAAATAAATAAATAAATAAATAAATAAAATTAAGTATATAGAATGATCTCAATTTTAAAACAGTTAAACAACAGTTATCTCTGGGGGTTGAAAATCAATGGCTTTTATTTTCTTGCGTTTCTGTGTGTTTTCTAAATTTCCACAGGGAATGTGAGTTATTTTTATAATTCAAAAGACCATTACTTTGAAAAAGTGTTAGGTCGTGGTCAAGCAACATCAGGGCAGAGGGTCCTGTTCTGCACAACTTTAGGACGGCTTTGAGCCAGGTGCCCAGCACAGTCTGGGATCTGGAATGCATGATCCCTGGGACCCTACAGACTCTACAAGGAACCCCTTTAAGAGGGGAGAATTTCTCCCCAGAGCAGGTGGGCATGACAGGGATCTTGCACCAGTGAAAATCCCAGCCCATGGAAAAGGCTGATTTGAGATGGCTCCAAAGGGACAGATTCAGAGGCAGAGCAACAAAGAGGCTACCTGAGTTCAAACAACGGAAGACTTTCCACCTATGCCAGCTGCCCTTAAAAGCCAAGCACTAGGGGCACTGGGTGGCTCAGTGGGTTAAGCAACTGCCTTCGGCTCAGGTCATGATCCTGGAGTCCCAGGATTGAGTCCCACTGGGCAGGAGTCTGCTTCTCCCTCTGACCCTCCCCCTTCTCATGCTTTCTCTCTCTCTCTCTCTCAAATAAATTAATAAAATCTTAAAAAAAAAAAAAAAAAGCCAAGCACTAAACAGTGAGCATGTCACAGTCCATCGGTGCTCAGAGATGCACTGAGGAAAGTCTCCTATCACAAAGGGGGTTAGACTAGTATTAACCTCTAATTATATAAGTACTTTTCCTTTTATGGATTTAAATAGATTGTATACTTAAAATGAGTGAATTATTTGAGGTATATACTTATCAATTTAAATATAATTTAAAAAATTTTAAATATCAGAGAAGGATACATTTCCTTTTGATCATCCCCACCCCCCCCACACACAAATCTGGTCCCCTTCTCCCTTCCCTGGAGATAATATCTTTTATTATTAGTTTGGAACATATTTTTCTAGACCATTTGATATGCTCTTACATATAGATGTGCGCTGATGTACGCGTACTCATATAAAGTATAAAGGACTATGTGTATATATTTCTACAAATAGCATCATAACCTATTTACCACTTTGAAACTTGGCTTTCTTCCCCCTATAGTCTTAGAGATTCATCTATATTATCTCATATGTATATATATTCATATATATAGTTTTGTTTTGTTTTAGGGGGGCAGGGAAGAGGGAGAGAGAGAGAATCTTAACCAGGCTCCATGCCCAGTGTGGAGCCTAATTTGGGGCTTGATTTCACAACCCTAAAAGATCATGACCTTGGCTGAAATCAAGAGTTGGATGCTTAACTGACTAAGCCACCCAGGGACCCTTCATCTATATTGTTATATAAAGATCTAATTCCTTTTCTTTTTTAAAAAAAAAGGGTTTATTTATTTGAGAGAATGAGAGCGCACACAAGCAGGGAGAGGGGCAGAAGGAGAGGAAGAAGCAGACTCCCCGCTGAGCAGAGAGCCTGCACGGGGCTTGATCCCAGGACCCTGAAATCATGACCGGAGCCAAAAGAAGATGCTTAACTAAGATATCCAGGTGCCTCTAACTACTTCTTTTTCAAAGCTGCACAGTACTGCTGGGTATGAACATTTGAGTTTCTTTAGCTGTTCCACCACCTGTGAATGTTCAGACTGTAGTTACTCGTGACTCCAAACTGCCATGAAGACTGTTCCAGAACTTTCCACCTGTGCATACATGCCGGGGTTTCCTTAGGGCAGATCCTGAGAAACAGAATCCTTAGGTCATAGGGCAGATGCATTTTTTATTTTAACAAATTGATGTCCACGTGACATTCCTTTCTAAGCCTCAGATCCCATGGCTTTATCAACCTGGTCCCTGTGAAATTTCCTCTCGTCGGTTTTGGCCCCGCAGAGGTTGTTCTCCCTGGCATACTCTGTGCCCTGGCTTTGTCCCACGGCTCTTCCTTCCTACTCACACCATCACCCAACAACGAGATGGGCTGCCCCGCTCACTTCCATGCACAGGCCAATCGGCCACCACTCCCGGCTACTCATACTTGGTACCATACGATTCCATTTAAATAAAGTGCAAAAAAGGCAAAACACATAGAAGGTGTTGGAAGTCAGTGTCATAGGTTCCTGGAAGCATAAGGAAGGCTCCTAGGAGGCTGGTAACGGTATGTTTTCTTTATCTGGGTGTTGGTCACGTGTGTGTTCATATTGTGAAAATTCATCAATTTTGTTAAGTGTACTTCTCTATATGTGTGTCATACTTCAAGACTCAGCAACAGGACGCCTGGGTTGTTCAATGGGTTAAGCACCTGCCTTTGGCTCAGGTCATGATCCCAGGGTCCTGGGTTCAAGTCCCTCATGGGCTTCCTCACTTAGCAGGGACCCCACTTCTCCCTCTGCCTGCTGCACCCCTACTTGGGCACCTGCTCTCTCTGACAAACAAAACAACAACAACAAAAAGATTTAGCAAAACCAGAATAAAGACAGCAGTGACCTTAGACCCAAGACATGAATACAGACATGCCACCCCTTTGACTTCACTCTACCTGGAACCTTGGACTTCTGGTGACAGTTGGGAGGTGACACAAGGCTGGGTGCCCAGGTTCTGGGGGGCCATCTCTGGAGATGTGGAAGCAGGGCCAGATCAGCTCTGGCTTCCTCCTGTCCCCCTCCACTCTGTTGGGTTTGGGGAGCACTCGCTAAGCTCGGATATGGCTGGTGGGGAATTGGCCAAGTCAGTATGATGGCCCTTTTCTTGCTGCTGTGATGCATGGGGGCAATCAAGGAGACGTACATCTCTTTCTGTCAGTTGTGGGGTGTCAGGCGGACCTGGAGAAATTGCAGAATCCAGCAGGTGCTACAGTCCTCAGCACAGACATCCTCAACCCTCTGACAGCCAGGCCAGCCTGGAAAGGGAGCAGCATTCAATGGGAGAGCATCTCCTTTCATATGGAGCTGGATGCTGCTAAAAATACCAGAGCACCTTATGTAAGACCAGAGTTACGCGGTGAGCATCTTATGTAAAAGCACTTAGTATACTATGGCAGCCCAACAGCTGGGGGATGCCGTGACGGCTGTGGGCAGTGTTATGAAGTTACAGTGTGTCTGCCCGGCGAGGAGGGTGAGTGATCGTCACTATCCAGCCCAGCCCGACTCACGCTGCTGTGCGCAAGCCAGCAACGTATTGGCGATTTTCGTCTTTAGATCTGGCCATCCGAGCAGCTGGGCTGATACTGGGGTTTATAAAGTGGCCTCTTGCTTGCCCTCAATCCCCTTCTCATTCACCGAGGTACATCCTGATTCCCAGAAATGCAGTGTCTTGGATTTAAAAGGGTCTCCTCCCCACCCAAGAGTCCCCTCACGGAGTAGCCGGGAGGATTGGGCGATTGGCCTGTGGTGGAAGTGAGCGGGGCAGCCCACCTCATTGTTGGGTGATGGTGTGAGTAGGAAGGAAGAGCCATGGGACAAAGCCAGGACACAGAGTATGCCAGAGAGACCAACCTCTGTGGGGCCAAAACTGACCAGAGGAAATTTCACAGGGACCAGATTGACAAAGCTGTGGGATCTGAGGCTTAGAATGTCACATGGACATCAATTCGTTAAAATAAAAAATGCATCTGCCCTATGACCTAAGGATTCTGTTTCTCAGGATCTGCCCTAAGGAAACCCCGGCATGTGTGCACAGGTGGAAAGTTCTGGAACAGTCTTCATGGCAGTTTGGAGTCACGAGTAACTACAGTCTGAACATTCATAGGTGGTGGAACAGCTAAAGAGACTCAATCATACGGTTTGTGTGATACATCTGTGTTCCGTGTGCCTGTCAATGGGTCATCCCCGCTGTACTCGAGTGTTCTAGCTGTGTATTCTCCCCAATTTATTTGTCCATCCTACTGCAGTTGAGTGATTTCCAGTGTTTTGGCGATTACAAACAGCGCTGTTACAAACATTTGAATACATGCCTTTTCACCACAGCCTTTTGCCCTTAAGACATAAGAACTGGCAAACTAGGGCACCTGGGTGGCTCAGTGGGTTAAAGCCTCTGCCTTCGGCTCCGGTCATGATCTCAGGGTCCTGGGATCCAGCCCCACATCAGGCTCTCTGCTCAGCAGGGAGCCTGCTTCTCCCTCTCTCTCTCTGCCTGCCTCTCTGCCTACTTGTGATCTCTGTCTGTCAAATAAATAAATAAAATCTTAAAAAAAAAAAATTGGCAAACTGAAAGGGCACCTGGGTGGCTCAGATGGTTGGGCGTCTGCCTTCTACTCAGGTAGTGATCCTCAGGTCCTAGGATCAAGCCCCATGTCAGGTTCCCCACTCAGGCCCTCTCCCCTACTTGTGCTCGTTTTCTCTCTCTCTCTCTCTCTCTCAGATGAAAAAATAAAATCTTTTTTAAAAAAATGGTAAACTGGGGCGCCTGGGTGGCCCAGTGGGTTAAAGCCTCTGCCTTCGGCTCAGGTCATGGTCCCAGGGTCCTCGGATCGAGTCCCGCATCGGGCTCTCTGCTCATCGGGAAGCCTGCTTCCCCCTCTCTCTCTGCCTGCCTCTCTGCCTACTTGAGATCTCTGTCTGTCAAATAAATAAATAAAATCTTTTAAAAAAATTAAAAAATAGAGGTAAACTGAAAAAATAAATAAATAAATAAATAAAAAGTGGAAAATCACCACTTTAAGCCTCAGTCTTGAGAAAGCCAACGTAGCCTACCTTGTCAATTCACCCTTTCGGTCTTTAAACACTGTCCTTCCACGGGCTACACCAAGTAAAGGGCACTGGCCACAGGGGCCACACCTTCTAGGACCACTGCTGTGTGTCCTCCGGCAAGCGCTTCACTTCTTGACACATCAATTTCCTTACCTATAAAATGGGGATGGGGCGCCTGGGTGGCTCAGATGGTTAAGCATCTGCCTTCAGCTCAGGTCATGATCCCAGGGTCCTGGGATCGAGCCCCACATCAGGCTCCCTGCTGCAGGGAGCCTGCTTCCCCCTCTCTCTCTGCCTACTTGTGATCTCTGTCAAATAAATAAATAAAGTCTTTTAAAAATAAATAAATAAATAATAAAAACAAAATAAAATGGGGATAATAAAAATACTTTGCCCTTCACCTGGATGAGGATGAAATAAGGGAACAGCATCTTGGTCAATGTCAGGAGCTCCGACCACTGCCAAAGGCACCCTCTCTCAGCCCCTGTGATGCACCCTGTTTTGGGAGGCCCACTCCCCAAGAGAGCCTAGCAAGGCTCTAACACAAAAGGGGGTAGCGACTGAAGGCAATCTCAGCCACCTCCCAGGGGAGCAGAGTGGCACCAAAAAGCCGTCACCGCACCAAACCACTACCCCCCCTCTGCCTCTCCAGTCATTGAGGACACGGTGCGATGGCCTTCACTCAAAATATGGCCTAAATCGGGGGCACCTTTCTAGAGTCATTATTAACGGCACATGCCAGCAGTCCAGCGACAGCACCCAGCAACCACTGCCCAAGAAACATGACATTTTTTAATGTTTATGCAAAAGAAGAGAGCGAAGTGTAGTATTTAGTGTTTTTAGGCGACAGAGATGGAAAAAAGCCCCTCAGAGCTTACAGTATAGAGACCTAGGAGCAAGAGACTCAGGGCTTCACGCTAGTGGTTGCCATGGCAACCGTACTTCATAGCTGGAACTCATTTTCATATGACAGTGACCTGCAGAGGGAAGGAAGGACCAGGAAACTTCTTCTGTTGAAGGCGGTACAGTTTGAGGGGTGGGGGGGGGGGAGTTGATTTTATTGACCAAAAAAAAAAGGTAAAAGTGCCTTAGGGGACAGATATGACCCCAGCTACCAGAGGGCCCTGCAGGGTTCTCTGTACCACAACTTTTACTTAAGACACACACACAACCGTCCTGTTTCTAGGGCCTCAGGGCAGATGTCACAGCCTTCCTGAGTCATTTGCCCAGCCATTAACCATCTGTTCTGTTACAAAGTCTTTTCCTGGAGTCCCAAAGCAACCAGCTGACCACGCCACAGGCACAGCCCACGCACCTGGGCAAGGTGCCAAGAGGACAAAGAAGACTCCTTGGACGGAAGCACACACTTCCCCAAATGGCAAATCCTAGCACTGGAAAAGTCTTGGAAGTCAGGCCCACTCGAGTTCCAGCCTCTGCCCTGCCCACCCACAAGCTGTGCAACGAAGGCAAGTCGCTCAGGCTCTCTGGGTTGGTGTCCTCATGGGCAGGAAGAGACAATGATGGCAAAATTGAAGCACCCACCCCTCTAGGCACTGGGAGAATCTCTCTCTCTCTCTCTCTCACACACACACACACACACACACACACACACACGGGAAAGATCAGCACCCTGCCCCACTCCTAATGACCACTCAGTAAACAGCCGCTGTGGTGTGGGGCCAGAAAATCCTCTCTCACACCCACGATACAACTGGAGGCTGATGGCAGAGAACAAAGCATTCAGTTGGGTGGCACAAACTGTAATGAATCCATCCATAACTCAGACGAGGTGTAGACAGATGGCGATCCGGAAGGCTGGAAGAGTCTAGGCCAGAGATGTGGTTTCAGCCAGACTCTGAAGGATAACAGGGAGGTATGCCCAGATGTTTGGGGCTGGGAAGTCCTTTCTCGAGTGCTTGCAGGGGCTTGGGTCCTGGGGATCCAGGAGAAAGAGAACAGGCCTCAGGGGCCCAAAGAGCCAGAGATCAGCTGCAGAGAGCTGCACCAGGGGCGTGATGAAGAGGGAAAGCCAAGAAAAGGGCCCCCAGTGCAGCCAGAGGAGTCACAAAGCTTTCCCAAGGCAACAGGACTCAGCTGGGGGTCCCGGAGGGTAAGGACAAAAGGGCTAACCATGGTAGGGAGGGAAGAAGCTGCAGACCTGGCAATTGGTTGCGGAGAGTGAGGGCCCAGGAGACTTCAACTCTGGGAGGAAGAGATCGGCTTTGTGTGGGAGGAATGGCTTTGTGTGGGAGGAATGCGGAGCCTCTGAAGATTGCTGAGGGAGGAGGGTCAGCCACAGGGGGAAAGCAAAAGTCAGGGACCATCCGTCTACAGGTGATGCAGCAGATGGACCGCAGAGGCCGGACTGGATGCTGGCATCAGAGGGACCCACTCAAGGGCCTCGGAGCCTGGCCTGAGATGTTCAAGGCCTGCCGTGGTAGCCGGTTCACAGAGGGGCGGCGAGAGGCAGACATACTTCAGGGAGAAGGGAGTATAACGGAGAAGGGAACCCCACTCCCAAGTAGCAAGTGAGAGCAGCTTCCTGGGAGGAGGAGGCCAGACTCGGATGCACCAAGTTTGGGGGTCACTGGAGCATCAGAGCGGGGCCAGGACTGGTGCTACAAGCCGGGGGGGGGCTGCCCCATAGGGCTGCTGAAGAAAGCTTCTGGGAAGCTAAACACAGCACCCCAAAAAACATCCCGCTATGGGTGGGGGGGTCCAAAGAGAAAGAACAATGGAGAAGAACCAAACAAGGAGAGCAGGACACCCTAGAAATCACAGCAAAGCAGACTGCAGAGCAGGCTGCGTGCACACAGGGTACACTCCCCAGGCGGAAGGACCAAGGCAGCAAACCAGCAGTGTTTGGAAACAAGATGACTTTCAGGAAAGCAGTTCCAGCAGAGCAGTGGT